TACTTTGTTTTTTGTTTTTGTTTTATTTCTAATATCTATCCTAATTGGTATGAAGTGATAATCTCATTGCGGTTCCCATTTGCATTTCCCTATTGACTAGTGATGTTGAGCGTATTTTAATTTGCTTATAGTCTATTCATATAAATTATTTGAAGAAATGTCTATTTGGGTCTTTTGCTCTTTTTTTTTTTTTTTTTTTTTTTTTTTGAGGTTTTTGCCATAGAGTATGTGCACTTGTAAGACAGAGAGTGAGAGAGAAAGTAAATAGTCACTCCTCCAGGAGGATGGCCATACTGCAATCCCTTCTCCTTCATTCTTCTCCTGGAATTTTGGGCACATGTACTCATGTGTCCTGTGTGATATTCAAGCCGCCAGGTCTGGGACTCAAACCTCAGTTGGCCATGTGAAAGTCCAGTGCCTTAACCACTACACCACCTGCTGGCCTCTTTTGTTCATGTTTTTAACCAGGTGGTTTAGGTTTTTCTTGTTGAGCTGTAGGAGTTCTGTCTTGTATTCTGGATATATAACATTTATTTATTTACTTACTGAGAGAGAAAAAAACATACAGGAACTGACCACTTACAAGGCAGGGGCTTGCCAGGCAGCGATTCTCCGCACAGCCGTCCAGCCAGGTTAGCATATGCACACCTGGAATGTTCAGGCTGACCTGAGATTTGAACCCTGGGCTTCCCATGTGACCCTAGTATTGCATAGTGGTGCCCTACTGCCTGCACTCTCCCAGCTGGGCCTGTATTCTGGATATTAATGGTATATCAAATATGTGATTTACAGATACTTTCTGCCATTCTGTGGATTGCCTTTTTACTCTGCGAAGAGTATGCTTTGATGCACAAAAATATTAAATTTTGATGAAGTCCAAAGTATCTGTTTTTCCTGTTGTCTGTGCCTTAGGTGTCATATTCAAGAAATCATTGTGAAACCAATGAAGCTTTTCCGCATAGTTACATAGTTTTGGATCTGACTTTTAGATATTTAATCCCTTTTGAATTTAGTTTTTGTAGACAACATAAGGTTTTCCATGTGGATATCCAGTTTCCTCAGCACCATTTGTTGAAAAAAACTGTACTTTCCCCATTGAGAGGTCTTGGCACCTTACTGAAAAATTCATTTGACCATCTGTGCAAGGGTTTATTTATGGAGTTTATTCTGTTAGTCTATATGCCTGTCTTTTTGCCAATACCACACTGTTTTGATTACTTTAGTTTTGTACAGTACTTAATTTTGAAATCAGAAAATGTGAGGCTGCCAACTTTGCTCCTTTTTTTAAGATTGTTTTGTCTATTTGGAGTTTTGAGATTCCATATAATTTTTTTTCTTTTTTAAAAATTATTTTTAATTTTGTTTATTCATTCATTTATTTTAATTTGACCAGACACACACACACACTCAGAGAAAAAGAGAGAGAGAGGGAGGGAAAGTGAGAAAGCAAGCCACCAGGTTCAGGACTCAAACTGTGGTCAGCCATGTGGGAGTGTCCAGCACCTTAGCCACCACACCACCTGCTGGTCCCCGAGATTCCATATAAATTTTAGGGCGGAATTTTCTATTCAATACAGTTGAGCTTTAGATGGGGATTACATTGAATCTGTACAGTGCTTTGGGTATTGCTATCTTGCTATCTTTTTTTTTTTTCTTTTGAGAGAGATTATTGCTATAGGGTGCTCACAGGAGGCAGTGGGAAAGAGACAGAAAGTGAGAAATTACCTCCTAGGGGGAATGGCCACACTGCAATCCCTTCTCCAATCTCCTCTCGGGATTTTGGGCATGTATGCACATGCACCCGGTGTGTGTTTTAAGCCACCAGGTCTGGGACTTGAACCACAGTCCACCATATGGGAATCCAGTGATGTAACCATTATGCTATCTGCTGGTCTCGGTATTGGTATCTTAACGTGTTCTAATCCATGAATATGAATTGTCTTTCCATTTATTGATCTCTTCTTTAATTTTAGAATAGTCTCAAGTGCATAAGCCTTTCTCCTTTGTAAATTTTATTCCTAAGTGCTATTTTCTTCAGTCCTGTCATACATGAGGTTATTTTCTTAATTTCCTTTTTATGTTGCTCATTACTAGTGTATAGAAATGGCAAATGGCAACTGATCTTTGTGTGTTAATTTTGTATTCTGCTTTGTTGAATTTCTTAGTCTTAACTTGTGTGTTTGTGTAATCCTTTAGGTTTTCCACCTATGAGATCATGTATCTGCAGACATAGTTTTTCTTCTTTCTTTCAATTTGAATACCTATTATTTTTTTTTTTCATAAGTTGCTCCAGCTAGAACTTTCACTGTTAAACAGGAAAAGCAAAAGAGAATTCTTGTCTTGTTCCTAATCTTAGAGGAAAAAGCTTTCAGTCTTTCACCATTAAGTTTGATATTAGCTATATGCTTTTCACATATGGAGGTAATTTTTTTAGTGGTTTGTTGAGTGTTTTTATTATAAAAGGGTGTTGAACTTTGTCATTGCTTTTTCTGCATCAATTCAGATACCATGTGCATTTTTCCCCATATTCTGTTAATGTGTATTATACTAATTGGCTTTCGTACTGCTGAGTCACTGTCCAATTCCCAAAATAGTTTCTGTGTTTGATAAAGTATTTGGCAGAATTGGTGTTCTTGTTTAAATGTTTGGTAGAATTCACCAGTGAAGCCACATGGTCCAGAGCTTTGCTTAGCTTTTCTTGCCAGAGTGGGCGAGAGAGAGAAAGCACCCCCCAGTGGGGCCCAGTCATACCTCAGTCCCTTCTCCTTCACTTCATCCTGTCAGGACCTTGTGTGTACAGGCACAAGCACCTGGCATGCCTCTCGTAGTATGATACCGCATAATTCCACTTCTCTAAAGGTGACAGTAATGTCCCCCTTTTCATTTCTGATTTTAGCCTTTTTTCTTCATAGTCAATCCAGCTGAACATTTTTTTTTTTGTTGATCTTTTTAAGCCATATCTTGACTTAATAGTTTTTTGTCTATTTTTTCCCCTGCCTTAGTTGTTTCCTCTACCAGTTTTGGAATTAATTTTTTATTTTCTGGATCTTTACAGTGTAAATTTATATTGTTGAATTAGTTTTTTCTTAAAAGTGTTTACACCTATAAATTTCTCTGTTCGCAGAGAAAGTGTTGGAATGTTGTTTTAATTTTCATTCACTTCAGGGTTTTTTCTGTTTTCCTATTTGGTTTCTTCTTTGACCCATTGGGTGTTTAAGTCTGTTAACTTCCACGTTTGTGGATTTTGTTTTCCTTCTGTTGATTTCTAGTTTGATTCCATTGTGATCAGAAAATATACTTTGTATAATTTTATGCTTTTTCTTTTTTTGTTTGCTGTAGAGCATGTGTGCTCACTGGAGAGCACAATGCTCCATTCTCCTTTCAGAATTTTGAGCATGCACTCAGTCACTTGTGCCCATGCAGCTAGCCATGTGGGATCCAGTCACCTTAACTTCAATGCCTGCCAGCTCCTGAATGCTTTTATTTTAATAAGACTTACTTTGCAGCCCAGTATATGGTCTGTTCTGGAGAATGTCCCATGTGCATGTCAGAAAAATGTGTATACTATTATTAGGTGAATGTTCTCTTAATGCCCATCAGGTCCCTGTGGCCTACGGTAGTGTGCAAGTTCTTACCTGATTGAGCTGTCTGGTTGTATTTATCACGGAAAGTGAGGTATTGAGGTCTCCTATTGTGTTGTTTCTCCCTTCAGCTGTCATTGTCCTTCACGTATTTAGGAGCTTTGCTCATTGTGCTGTAATTCTATCATCGTAGGTGACCTTTTTTCTCAGTAGGTAATGTCCTTCTTTGCCTCTTCTAACAGTTTTGACAGAAGGTAATGAACTGAGGCTATTCATAGGATCTGTTGGAAATAGACAGCTGGGATGGTGCAGTCCCACTAATACGTCATGATGTTGGATGACAAAATGAGCAGCACTGAAAAGACCTTTTTACTTTACTCCCAGCCTTAGAACTAGAAGGTGGTGGGACCAGATGGTGTAATTGTTAAATTGCTGGACTCCCACAGTCAACCACCGTTCAAGTCCCAAACCCAGTGGCTTCAAACTCACTTCGGGCACATGTGCATGTGTGCCCAAAATCCCGAGAGGAGAATGTAGAAGGGATTATGGCATGCCATCCCACGTGGAGGTGATTTCTCGCTTTCCGTCTCTGGCGAACGCATGCACCCTATAGCCTTTTTCTAAAAAAGAAAGAACTAGAAGGTGGCATCTGCCCTGCCTGTGAGTGAAGTGACTCTGGGTTGGACAAAAAGGATCTCATAGGTAGACGCCAAATGTTAAGTGAATTGGGAACCAGCAGTTAGTGTAATGGCTATGTTGCTGGACTCCCATGTAGTCGACCGTGGTTCGCGTCCCAGACCTGGTGGCTTAAAACTCACGCAGGGCGTGTGTGTGTGCGTGCGTGCCCAAGATCCCAAGAGAATGGAGGAGAAGGGATTGCAGCGTGACCATCCCCCCTGGGGGGTGATTTCTCGCTTTCTGTCTCTATGTCTGTCTGTCTGGCAAGCGCACGCACCCTATAGTGAAAACCTCTCAAAAAAAAAAAAAATGTTAAGTGAATTTAGAGGCACTTCTCTGTCCCAGAAGCACCTTGTGAATGTGAAGGGGTGGCTCTCATAAGGGTTTAGCAAGAGGATTCAGGAGAGAGGTGTAGAAGTAGATAGGATTTAGAGGAGAAATAGTTTCCTTAAGCTTTTTTCCTTTTTGAGATTAAAAAGGAAAGATTAAAGATTAAAATCTCTTATTTGAGATTTTAAGGCTGCCGGGTTCAGGACTTGAACCATGATTGTACAGCACCCTAACCACCACATCACCTGCTGGCCCATCCCTAAGCTATTAATCATGGGAGAGGGTATAGCTGTGAGGAATAAAAAGGTAGTCCCAAATTAAGACTTAGGAAAATATCACTAGACTCTTGGTGAGAATAGAAACTTCCTCTGTCTTCTATCCCTTTTTAATGTATGACCTGGCTTTTTTCAGTACAAATACCTGAAATGTAAAAGTGAGCCTCATGTTAAGATCGAAGGGAAGGACACTGATGACTGGCTCTGTGTGGACTTTGGTAAGTTCTTTTGGCATACCCTACACATGAACAGTGGTAATGAACATACTCCCACAGGACGATGCACACTGTGTGTTGTATGTATAAAGGAGCCACAGAGAATCATGAAGGTGGTAGGGAACAGGATGAACAACAGAATAGAGGTGGGAGACCCCTTACTGGTGGGAGTGGGGGATAGTGTACACGTGACCTTGCCCATAAATAACTCCAAAGAGATGAGGTTTAAGGTCATTTCAGGTATAAAGAAGACTGGAATTTTGAAAAGATATAACAAGTTTGGGTATTAATGTGTACATAGTGTCAAGCTATTTCCCAAGAAGATACTACAAAGGGGGAAACAACGGTGTCAAGAACTGTGGGGGCTGGGGTGGGGTGAGATTTTTACCCTTGTTGCAAGCTAATTAGTTGTACCACCGGTTTCATGGCTATGGGTAAAGTACAAGACCATCCCACACTTAGAGACAAAGCACTGTTTATTGCCAGCAGCAGCAGCCAGCGTCATGAATGCTGTGCTGGTACCCTGAGGGCAATACAAGGGCCAGATGACCTGCACATACAGGTAGAAGAATTCTGAGGTTAGGGTGTCCAAGTCTTTTACAACAGGCAGGAAGCAGGTCTATTTTTGCTTTGGTGGGAGACACACCAAGGTTTCTCACCTTTGTCCGTAATGTTTTGGCAAGTAATTTTGTTGGTCGAGCAGGGAGAGAGGTATCTTGTGCATTGTAGGGTATTCAGCAGTATCCTAACCCTTCCCCAGTTGGGCAATCAAAAATGATTCTAGACATTGCCATTACTCCCTGATTGAGAACTGCTGCTAGTGCCCCTTGCTCTGGGTAGAGGCATCTATTGATAAAGACTATTTACTGTAGACTCCCTGCAAAGATAGTCCAGAACTGTCTCTCAAGAGAGGCCTGACAGATCACCTTTAGTCCCTTGGATTAACATTACCAGCAGTGTTACGCAGTAATACTGTGTACCTGCTAGGTAACACACGAGAAAGGCAGAGCATTGCTTCTGTGGTATTTTCGCTGTGATGAGATCCACAGTGTGCATTTCTAAGAAGTCCCCGGGCAGTGGTAATCTGGAAACCACACTTTGAGAACTACTGCTCTAGTTCTTAGAGGTATATGAGGGGACTTGACGTTTGTGGAGAAATGGGATTTACATATGTTTATTTTGGTGCCACAGAAAAAAATGGAAGCCATGTATATTTTTTGAAGACTCTCTGTACTAGCCCCAGAGGGCTGTGAGATCACTAGAATAAGTGAATGAACTGTTTCTTCATTGTAACTCTTTATCTGTCCCTGATAGGCAGCATGGTGATTCACTTGATGCTTCCTGAAACCAGAGAGACCTACGAATTAGAGAAATTATGGACCCTGCGTTCCTATGACGACCAGTTAGCTCAAATAGCACCTGAAACATTACCAGAGGACTTCATTCTTGGAATAGATGATGATACTTCATCCCTGACTCCAGTGGAGTTCAAATATAAATAAATGATACGAACTTTATAGTCATCTCAGATTTTGATTGACTGACATCTCCTAGCCCCCACCTCCTTGGTTAGGTTGCTGTTAAAGCAAGTCTTGTCTCCCTCATGCTGACTGACACACAGAGATTTGAGATCAATAAACTAATTCCCGCATGGACCGTCAGTTCACACTAGAACCTCAACGCGTTGTCTTTATCTATTAGATCCCAGCAAGATTTCTGGAGTTAGCAGTGGCCCCTGTGCTTAACATGAGCTCTCTGTTAAATTTATCATTACTTTTGCTTAAATATAAATCTTGTTCTATAGAATGGGAAGGCTCAGGGTTTTTGTTTGTTTGTTTTTTAAAGTAACACAAAAACCATGTTCACCATCCCACTAGTCCCATTATTTTTTCTTTGAGGGGATAGAGAGCAGTAGTAAATACAAGGATATTCTCTAGATGAGGATTTCTTAACCCTTCCAGAATAACCAATATTACAAAGGAAAACGGACTACTAGGGAAAAAAAAATTCTTAAAACCTGTAGTTCTTAGCTCATAAGTAACTGTTATCAAGGTTCACAGTAAATATCATGGGCTGGAGAAAGTAACTTAGCAAGCAGCACATCTTGGTGCTTATATTGAGATTGTAATAAAAATTTTGTTTTAAATGTATAATTTGATAAATTCAGAAAGTTCACATTTGTTTAAAAACAAACATACTACACACAAGAGCTGCATCTAATGATGAAAAACTTTATTCTGCATCAAAGTATCTGGAAAATGAAGCTGCATTTGGGCACATTATAGATGAGGAATGATCCATATATGGTGAGTACAAAACTCAATTACAGAATTATTTCTTAGCTAGTACCAGATACTCCAAATTACCAATGCTTAAGTGAAAGTAACATGATTTGCCACACTAAAAGGCTAGACGTGAAATATGACAGAATTTAAACCAGCAGATATAAATACAGCACCTATTTGTATTTTAAAAAAAGAATCAAATATTGGAAAAATCAAATATTGAGGAAGAGCTCTGGCTTTAAAGAAACACATCTCACCTGAAATCCAACCAGAAAGCCAGTCCATGATTTTTCTTAGCAATTTTAATTCATGGTATAAAAAAACAAATGATGAATGCAAGGTGAATTCTGTGACACCAAGGGCACTTTGGCTAAACTACAAAATAAACTGGTTTTCTGAAAACATTTAGGAAAACATTTGAAGTCATTTTCAAAATGGCTAATTCATATGCTGACCTTCAGAAAAACTTACCTAGTCTGTATAAAAATTCATCTTGAAATACAAATGAGGCAAAAAAGAATTTTTTAAGGATTATAAATGCCCTTCAGATCAGTGTATTATGTCGACTGTGATCACCTTATCAACAAAAGCAACACAAACAATTCAGAGAGCAGCGTGGCCGTGGAGACCACCCACACCCACACAATTGTACCTACTGGGCTTTGCCATCGAGTTAAGGAATGGGCAAGCAAGTTCCCTATCAAAGATCAGATGATTTCACAGTCATGCGGATCATATTCCAGAAACTGTTTTCTTGTATTCTCTACCTTTTAACTTATTTTCACATAACTGGTTGCAGAGTATACAGAAATCCTTCTATACTTCATGTAATGTTTTAGGTGGACTTTCATTTTTTAAAAAAGGTATCATTGCTTGAAAAGTCTTCAAAATAACTTAGGCTCATGACAGTGCCAGGCACATGGAGATGTAGCCGTTTTTTGCCTGTTGCACACTGTCACACCATCTCTCACTGTTCCGTTGGTCTTCCCAAAGCAGTTACTTTGAGGTCTGCCCTAAGTGTAGACCAACTGGTCTGAAGCATATTGGCAAACTAAGCATCCTGAGAGACAAGCTGAAGCTTGCTCTTTGCCGGTTTTTAAGTTCTGCATCTCCTCACTGATGCACTTTCTTTAGGTAGTGATAGTCAAAAGCACAAAGGATTTATGCAATCATGTAGCCGAAGAAACAAACCTGAAATCTCCTGAAGCCACTTAAACTAGCCGTTCAAAGCCTCCTGCCACCACTTTGCTCTGTTAGTACCATCAGAAACTTCCCCAACTATAAACAAGAGTAAATGGTATCGCTGCTCTCCAAATATAGCACTGCTCCATAGCTTTACCCATTTATTGGTTTTTCCAACTATTTGTGTCAAAAGCCTCAAAAAACCTGAAGTTATTTTTCCATCTTCACTGTCACCAGCCAGAAGTAAAAATTTTTTTTTATCAATTATTTGCCTGTTAGCTGTTACGTTTTAAATTTATTTTTTAAAAAGTGGATGGACTTTTATCTTTATAAAGTATATAAAATTTTCAAAAAAACAATTTTGTTTTTCACTGTATTACTGAATACCTGAGGTAGTTGAGTAAAATGCACATTTAATACCCCTGCCAACACCATTTAGCACTTCCCTTAGGTTATTTGTGTTAGTGTTAGATAAAAATGAAACTGAGAACAGTTTTTCTATGCTAATGGCTTAACATTTATGTTCCTGTGATCATTCTATTCTGATCCAACCTTAACAGTTGAATTTAGGAACAACCTAAACTTGTTTATTTGATGAATTTAGTGAATATCATTAAGCCAATCTGGCATTATGGGGAAATATAAGAAAAATTAGGATATTTGTTACACTGTGAGACTACAACAAAGGGAAGTACAGATTTTTTCCCTCTTATTATTATTATTTTTTTAAAGCTGGGTGTCATACATTTCAGAGAGCATAAAGTATACATTCTCACAGAGACAGGAGTTCAAAAGTTGCCTGGTCCTCAGAAACAACTGGCTAGGTAAAAACTTGTGCATGTGATTCCGGGTAGGGGCAGCGCCCATCTGTTGGTTAAGCAATCTGTCTTTGGTTTGGCATCTGCCTCTGTGGTGGGCTGCTTCCTGAGCCTTTATTTCCGCCTTGACTGAGGTGGTCCACTTTGCAGAGCTTTCTGCTGTTGGTGCTGCTTTACCTGAGTCAGAATTTCCTGAATTTTTCTCTGGGCAACCTGTAAAAGGACAGAGCTTTGAAAATTCTATCCAATCAAAAAATACTGAAAGTCCCTTTCAGGGGGGTGACGACCTCCCCACGAGAACATGCCTCTCGCAAAGGACCTCCTTCATCCCTCTCCGGAAGAGGAGAAGAAGAAACACAAGAAGAAGCACCTGGTGCAGAGCCCAGATTCCTACTTCACGGATGTGAAGTGCCCAGGATGCTATAAAATCACCACAGTCTTTAGCCATGCACAAACGGTAGTTTTGTGCGTTGGCTGCTCCACTGTTCTCTGCCAGCCTACAGGAGGAAAAGCGAGGCTTACAGAAGGTTGTTCCTTCAGGAGGAAGCAGCACTAAAAGAACCTGACTCAAGATGAGTGGGAAACCATCCCAATAAACACATTTTGGATTAAAAACAAAACAAAAAAAACTGAAGTTATGTAACTTCTATTTCAACAACTTCAAGTAGGAATTCATTTGGAGATTCAAATGCATAATAATTAATTTGCTGGAGGCCTCTGAAATCACTTGCTAAGAGGGAGATCAGAAGTGTTAAGCATCAAACCACCTTAAATATTTGCATAGGGTCAGAGCTCCCACGGAGAATGGCTTACAAGAGTTTGCCTATTTTAGGGCCCACTTGCCTGGCAAGCATAGAAGTGACCAGTTATTTTGACAACTACTTGATCATTCTCATCAGGTGTCTGGTCACGAGGGACAACTACTTCTGCACTTGACAAATTCTGGAGCTCATTCACCTGAAAGAGAGAAATACAAATCACATTAAGTGAATTAACGACAGCAAACTTTTCCCGAGCACTTACTATGTGCCAGACACTGAGCTATAGCTTTACAAATGGCACGTAATCCACAAATAATTTTGCGAAATAGTTAATACTGTCCCCATATCACAATAATTAGAACTAAGGTTCATCGAAAGAAACAGATTTGTCCAATTACACCGAAAGTACATGGCAGAACCAAATTCAAATCCTGAAAGTCTGATGCCAAAGTCTCAATCACTTCAAAATTGTAAATAGCAAAAACAAAAACAAAAACAAACAAAAAAACCCAAACACCTTTGAAAATGACTTTGAAGTTATATGTGTTTGAGAGAGATTGGACTATGCTTTTTTCAGTTTACAGGTACAAGTTGTAGAAGAGATGGAAGTTTTTTCATTCATGTGGTAAGCATACAACCAAAGTAAAGTCTGAAGTTACACTGACGGAATAATCCTGTATGCCCCTGGTAAATATGAGACATTCTTCTCACAGAGAGTGGCCAAAAGATGACAACTTCTATTGGTCGCCAACACCAACACTCAGACGGGGAACAAAGGGCAACCTTCAAACCTGGCTCAAGATGGTCCTGCTTTTTAAAGATTAGCCAAAATTCAGGGGCTTGGAACTCCTAAGTACCTTTCAATGCTTTCCCTTTCATACCACCGCACAGGTTTTGCTGAAGTACTTGCCGTTTTGCCTCCTTTTCCAATAACCCGGCCGGCAGCAAAGGATGGCACTCTGATATGAGCTTCAAGTTTCACCTCTTCTTTAGGACTAACAAAGTTTTCTTCTTTAATTTTTCCATAAATTCTTCCCTGAGCCTAGAGATGAGAACACATCCCATTACTGTCATTCACATATGAACCATAAAAGATCAGTTGACCTTTAAAAATGGCCCAAATCCAAGTGAAACCACCGTTTGCAGTAATACATTTGTGTTTAGAACATAGTTAAAGATGATAAGAGACAAGTTAGGAGACCTGGGAAGGTTGGTAGTGCCTACTATCCATCACAGGAAGCAACTGAGCAAGTGAAGAAAGCTGAAAAGATAGCCATATGTTCTGACAAAAACAGTTAAAAGACAATTAGCAGTCAGTCTAAGTAAAATTTTTGAGAGCAGATGGCTGTTTGCAGCCAAATCCTGAAAGGTAAAACCGGTGTTTTTCTTGAGCAGAGCAACTCAGAACTACACTCCCAGCTATGCCAGGCTTATAAAAAGCCAAGCTCACATCTAAATGGACTGTTGGGGAGCGTGCTGAGGAGAGTATGTTCATTTACGCATATAAGAGTAAAAGCTCAGCACCAAGGAGAACACGCGGTGATGGCTTTCATCTTTTAAACTTCCAAACTGAAAGTGACTGACCTAGAAGTTTCAGGACAGAAAGCAGTTTCATTATTTGAGTTGTAATTTGAATGCCTGGACCACAAAGACACTGAGGGAATTCGTTTCTTCACCTGATTGAGACCTTAGCCAACTACACCCATATCCAAAGCACCTCCTTTGTTTCTATTCTTCCTATAAATGAAGTAAAAGCAGCTTTGGGTTTTTAGTGAAAAACCACCCAAAGAAAACAGTCATTGAAGAAAGTGATGCTTTGAAAAAAGGGGGACAGGATGGGGTAAGGAGAGACCTATGCACTGTCATTGGCCACACTCCTGAGCCAAGAAAACTGTGGCTTAAGGTCAAATGGTCATCCTCTTACACAGCTGCTAAGTGGCAGATAGGACCAAGGTAGGGTCTTTGGATAAATTAGTACTCAAACATTAGCAGCGGCACATGCTAGCTACTAAGATGCTGCTCCATAGTCTGGGACCACAGGAGCAGCCCAGGTTTGGCTTCTGGTCCAACCTAAAGGCTGGGTGTGGTGGCATGCACCAGTAATCCCAGCATCTAGGGAGGCTGAGGCAGGAGGATTGTGACTTGGTGAGACTGTCTTTGGGGGAAGGGGGACATATTTTGGAATGTGGTGTGGTCTTAGGTGTGGCCTTAGCCTGATGCAGCCTGACTCTGTTGAACTGCAGTTGCTAATGTGCTTAAGTGTTAGGCACTATTTTAAGCACTTTCTATAATATTGTACCAACCTTACACCACCTCAGGATGTAGGTGCTCTGACATCCATTTTACAGATGAGGAGTAGCCAGACAAAGGTACCTTGCCCAAGATCACTCAGTTAGTAAATGGCAGAGCAGAGCTCTGAGTCAGCAGCCTGGCTGCCGGGTCTCCGCTCTTCATCAGCCTGCTGTCATACCTCTCAGCATACACGGAGAGGCTTTCCAACCCCAGAGACACCAAATCCCAATAAACATGCGTGGGGTGGTTCACACAGGACAAATGCTACAAGTGCTCCTGTCATTTCTCCCTCTAAAATCCCAAAGATTAGAGTGATTTGTGGAGTCTGGGCAAGAGCTTACAGTTAATCCAAGGGTAAGAGGAAACCAGGTCATTTTAATTCAAAGTTAGGGCATCTCTGGGACAGAAGGGAAACTCTGAGGACAAGTTTCCAAGGAAATATTAACCAGGCAGGTTTATAAATTTCATTCTTAAGCTCTTACCTCATATGGTAACCAGATGAACAAATTCATCTTTGAGAGACAGGTAAACTCAACAACCAGTACAAAACTTTCAAAATTGAGGGCTTTGGGTTATCTCTGAAAATATAATTTTGGGTATGATTCTACTCTGATCTTAGATAGGAATTTCTATCAGTTCTTTCTTCTGATATGCTTAAGGGACAGGTCATATTATAGAGTTCCTGAAAAGAAGTATTATCATTCTCCACATCCACGTGTCACCCGTGCGCACACACACCTTGAACTGAGCCTCTGGTGGTCCAGTGATAATCACCATCCTCACCTTAGCGTCCGGTGCTTCAGCTGGAGCGATCTGTAACAGACCCATCAACACAGGCTATGAGTCTTTAGAAACCATAGTCAACGAGTTTGACTTTGCGTGTGACTAACTGAAGTGCAGTACCAAAAGCCTTCTGGAAGGAAATTATGGAGGGCTATAATTAATGTCAGTTCATCACTTAGAGCCCCTGCTATATTGTGTATGTGTATCAGTACTGTACAATTTCATGTGCAGTCTCTCTGCTAATCCTCACCACATCCTGGTGGGCTGATTACCTCAACTTTACAAATGGGGAAATGGAAGGCTGCTACCTGGCCCATGACACAGCTGAGCACGTGAGAGAGAGACTGGGTCAGCCTGTCCCCTCGCCTGTGTTCACCGCACCAGCAGTGCGGTGCTAGGCCCCCTTGTATCCGAGGCCCCCAGCTTCTTAAATATGCAGGAACACCTGAGAGGCTCTGCACCCTATGTTTTAAGACTGTTGCCCCACATGACCTTTCCTACTTCAGTGTTTTTCTAATACTCTAGATTGCTGAACCCCTTTTATAGAATTTAGAAAGAAACTTGGTTTATTTCATGAGCTGCTTTTACATGTTTTATTTTTTGCTAAATTCAAAAATATAAGACTCTTAATTCCAGTGTGCTCACTGGAGTAACAAGAAGTAAACAATAATTGAGAAAGAGAAACACAAACTCAGACTTTTCTGTTTTTAGAATTTGTGAAGTTGAAAAGCCCAGAATGGGGAAATGGTACAGAAACTGCTGAAGGGAGAGGGAACAAGCATTCTCCTGGAGTTACATTAAGAGAGGATTTGGGGGGATCAGAGGTAGGGTAATGGTTAAGGCACTAGACTCCCACATGGCCAACCATAGTTCAAGTCCTAGACCTGGTGGTTGGAAAATCATGCTGAGTGTGTGTATGTGTTATGCCTGAAATCCTGAGAGGAGAATGGAGAAGAAAGGATTGTGGCATGGCCATCCCCTGGGGAGGAGGGGGATGATTTCTCACTTTCCCTGTCTGTCTCTCTCCAGTGAGCACATGTACCCTTTGGCAAAAACCTAAAACAAAAACAAAACAAAAAACACAAAGAATTTTGGTGCCCAGCTAGAAGTCCTCTTTTTTCCTTTTTAATTCAGTTGTTAGCAACAAAAGGAGTCATTTTAAAGAAAAAAAGTTGTTGGAAATTGCTGTGCAAGAATCAGATTTATTCTTGTCGGGTGAGGGAGAAGCAGCTGCCATGGTAGTTAAGGCTCTGGATTCCCACATGGGTGATTGTGGTTCAAGTCCTGGACTAGTGGCTTGAAAATCACACTGGCATGTGGTACCCAAAATCCTGAGAGGAGAATGAAGGAGAAGAGACTGTGGCATGGCCCCCCCCCCCCCCCACGGGGGAGAGGGGATGCCTTCTCTCTCTCTCTCTCTCTCTCTCTCTTACCCTAGCAAAACAGAAAAAATAGAAAAGGGCTGGCCCCATTAAGTCTAGTATGTTAAGGGATCTGAATTCCATATGGGCTGGCTGCAGTTCAAATCCAGTCGTGGCCTCTGGAAAAACATGCTGAGTACATATGCATACATGCCCAATGAAATAAGTGATTGTAACATGACCACACCTCACTGACAGGTGTTTTCTCCTCCCTTTCTGTTTCTGTGTGTCTCATCCTCTGGCAATTAAGAAAATACTTTTTTGCCAGAGGTCACATACACTCACCAAAAAGAGAGCGAGCAAAACAAAGCACCCTCCATGGAGCATGGCTGCACCACGACTGTCTCCATTTCTCCCTCCCTTTGGAGTATTGGGCACATACACCTGGCTGCCACATCTAGGACGAGACTCGAACAACCATGTGAGATCCATCAAGCCATGGGCTGGCCCCTTAAAATACATTATTAAGCTATAAGAACGGTAAGCAAAAATGCAATAAAAAGTAACCCCAATGCTACTACTCAAGATGATCACTGTCAATTACTTCAGTCTTCTAGACCTTTCTCAGCACGTTAAGATTAGAAATTTTTAAAGGTCTTCATTATTTTATTTTTTAAGAGAAATTTTTGCTACAGGGTGTGTGCACTTGCTACAGACACAGACAGATAGACAGACAGACAGAAAGTGAGAAATCATCCCCTAGGGGGGATGACCATGACACAATCCCTTCTCCATTCTCCTCTGGGAATTTGGGCACGCACTTACTCAAAATGTGGTTGACTATGTGGGAGTTCAGCAACATAACCATTAGTCCATCTGCTGGCCCTAAAAAAGGACTTTATTTATCTAGAGAGGTGTTTTCTCTAGGGTATATGTGCTCCCAAGAGAAAGAGAGAGACACACAGTGAGACGGAAAGTGAGAAATCACCTCCCGGGGGGATGGCCACACCACGATCCCTTTTCCTGAGATCTAGGGCATACATGTACATGTGCCCAGTGTGAGTTTGAAGCCACCAGGTCTGGGACTCAAACTGCAGTCAGCCATATGGGAGTCCAGTGACATAACCACTAAGCCATCTGCTGATCACAAGGTCTTTATTTTTAATGAACTCATGCTTTCTCTCTCATTTGAAATAAAACTAACACTTTTGTCACCTAACGCCAAACCGATACTATTTCTTTTTTATTTTTGGAGAGGTTTTTGCTATAAGGTGTGTGTACTTGCCAGAAAGACAGAAAGTGAGAAATCATCCCACAAGGGGGATGGCCACACCGCAATCCCTTCCCCCCCATTCTCCTCTCAGGACCTTGGGCACACACACACACGTGCCTGGTGTGAGTGTAAGCCACCGGTTCCAGGACTTGAATCGTAGTCGACTACATGGGAGTTCAGTGACATAACCAGTATGCCATCTGCTGGTCCCAAACTGATACTATTTCTGCTTTATACTGGGCACTGACTAATCTTGAACCTATAACACAAGCAAATAGGGCCAGCCCCCTAGCATGGCAGTTATTTCCTGTACACATGTAGTCAGAAAATTCACCAGGCACATGTGATTTCTCACTTCCCCTCTCTTTGCTGAGTGATGTGCCCTATGGATAAAACCTTAAACAAACAAACAAACAAACAAAAAACTATTAACACTGGTGATAGAAGGCCAGGGCTAAGGGCACTCACATTGAAGTTAGGAATATAAATTGCTATAGTTTTTAAAAACTTGAGGGACCAGCAGTTAGCTTAATGGCTATGTTGCTGGACTCCCATGTAATCAACTACGGTTTGAGGCCTGGACCGGGTGGCTTAAAACTTACGCTGGGTACGTGTGCGTGCGTACCCAAGATCCCAAGAGAAGAATGGAGAAGGGAATGCGGAGTGGTCATCCCCCCCCAGGAGGGTGATTTCTTGATTTCTGTCTCTCTGTCTGTCTTTCTGGCAAGCACATGAGCCCTATAGCAAAAACCTTTCCCCCTTCCCAAAAACAAAAACAAAAAACTTGGAAACACATGCCCTTTGACCTACATATTTCTGTAAACTTATGTTACAGGAATAAGGCTATATGTAATAGTTCTGCTAAAAGAATTTATCACTGCACTATATGCAAGATACATTAGAAACGATGTAAGGTCAAATAAGTGAACACAAGTTTTAGAATAGAACACAAGTGATTATATAGTATTTGGTACCAAATATTATATACTTAATAAGGCTTATATAAGTTTGGATAGAAGTAAAATCTATACCAAAATGTTAAGAGTGGTGGTGAATTTTTTAGGTTTATGTGTCAAGACTTTTTGGAAACAAACATTTTTCAACCTCATTAAGACACTTCCACGGAAGCCAGGTAGATTGAGAATGAGCCTCTAGCACCCACCAATTCTTGCTCATGCAGTAATCATGGCAGTTCTCCCCAGATGGATCTACTAGGTTCTATTTGTGTATATGAGCATGTACCCAGGATTTATATTTCACTCATTCACCAGAAAACTAGCAGGAGAGTAAAGCTGATTCACAACTGGATCATTTACCAGTCTTTTCCTTTACTCACCTATTTATTCTGACTGAATTTCCTGTTCACGTATCTTTTTACCTTTTGCCGCCAAGAGAGTATGAGGGCTACTTCTTTGGGTTATTATTAGTTTACCTACAGTAAAATTCACTATTCAGGTGTTCATTTGTGTGAGGTGATGAACGTGTAGCCATGTAACCACCACCACAATAAAAATACAGGACAGTTCCATCCCTTCACCCCCCAACAAATTCCCTCATGCCGCCTCATTATTTCCCACCCCATTCCACCTCCAGGTCTTACCAATCACTCCACCTCCAGGTCTTACCAATCACTCATGTGTTCGCTAACCCTGTAGTTCTTGCCTTTCCCAGAATTGTCATAAATGGACTCATACAATATGTACTCTTTTGAAACTTCATTCTTTTAGCACAATAAATGATATTTTTTCCAAATTGTTGGATCGAGAGTTAGCTGACTGCTTAATGTATTTATTGTATAGATGGACCACACTTTATCCATTCACCAGCTGAAGAACACTTGATTTCTTACTTTGTGATAATTACCAATAGAGATGTTATAAAGATTGAAATACAGGTTAGCTAAGTTTTTATTCCTCTTGTGAAATACCCAGGAATGGAATATATTGGTTGTATGGTAAGTGTACTACGTTCTTTTAAATGTATCTGTTTAGAAAAAGTTTTCTGGAAGAAAGCTATCAGTATATCCAGGCTTTGTTAACCTTTTCTTTAAAACAGAATGACGCATATGTTTAATATTGTCTCAGCACATCAAAATATACTCTTCTAGACCAGTTGGTGGTGCAGTGGTTAAGGTACCTGGATCCCACCTGGCTAACTGTGCCATTCAAGTCCTGGACCTAGTGGACTGAAAGAACATGCTGGGTGCGTGCGTGCGTGCGCGTGTGTGTGTCCAAAATCTGTGAAGGAGAAGGAATTCTGGTGTGAAACCACCCCCTCCAGCAAAGATGTACAACCTCTGGCAAACTAAACCAACCAAACAAAAAAGACAATACATGTGTATATAGACTCTCTAGAACACACAATGGTCTGTTACAGCAGAACTCATCTGTTGTCTTCTGTGTGTTAGTTCCCCCCGCCTTCCCCCACAACAATGAACACTGAGCTGACAACACATGGACTATACTTCCCAACTGCCCCTTGGGCCCCATCTGGCTGAGTCTGAGTACTGGAACAGAGGGAGAGAGAGCCACAGCAGCTACCTGAAAATGTCCTCAACAGAAAGGCTCTCATTGTGTCCTCCTCTCCTCCTGGATGAACAATAGAACTGACTGCTGGAGCACTGAGAGGTGTCATCTGGGGACTCTGAGGGACCAAGCCCCCTTGAAGATGATGAGCTAGACAGAACTTGGGTCCAAGGACTTGGAGGCACGGCAGTCACCTTCTAGCCTTGGATTGCTCATCTCCAGACTGCCTTTTTGGGAAGGGATGCTAACTCACCTCATCTAAGCCAGTGTGGTTTGAGATTTTTTTGCCACACCCTCATGTAATGCTAATACAGTCTTCAGTTCAGACTTTAAAAGGGCATAAAGAGGAATGTTTCTGGAACTTACTTGACACTTAAAGAACCAAGAGAGTGCCAGCTGACATCACAGTACCTTGATCGAAGCTCCTGCAAATCGAGAAAGCTGTTTGATGTGTTGGCCCTGCTTGCCGATAATGGCGCCAACAGATAGGGCTGGGATAAACAGGTGAACAGTCTCCGTTTCTGATTGCTGTGAGAAAAGATAGCCAGGATATTTATTTGCATGTTTTGCCACAAATCAGTCTTATTTGGCTTTGGGACAGGTACATTGTCATACAGTAAGAACACTAGGAGAGTTTTAGTAAATACTAACAGGTCAAGAATATCTCATATATTCATCCTCAAGACCCTGGTATTTAAAATGTCACTTTTCGGGACCAGCAGGTGGCATGGTGGTTAAGGTACTGGACACTCCCGCATGGTCAACAACAGTTCAAGTCCCAGACCTGGTGGCTTGCTTTCTCACTTACTCGCTCTCTCACTTGTTCTCTCTCTCTCTCTCTGTGCATGTGCATCCGGTCAAATGAAAATAAATGAATGAATAAATAAGACTTTAAATAAATAAAAATGTCACTTTTCCTTCCATAATTTTTTTACACTTTATACTGTGTAACAGATGAAGAGATACGTAGCCATTATAAAGTTGAAACAGCAGAGAGGGACAAGACTGTTAAAAGTTAAGTAAGATCTCCACTCCCCCCATCACTTTATCCAAGGAGATTCTTGACAAGTATGTGAAATTCTGGGCTATGTATCAATGAACACAACGGCATTCAAAAACGCCAGCTCCACACCTTACCCATGTAGCCTTCACTTCTTCAATGCTTAACACAGGAAGCATATATGTAACATGTAGTGGAACATTCTCTATGAGAAAAAACTCCTAAATCTCATTACGTGACTAAATCATGTGCAACCCTATGACCATCATTTAGTACTTAGCACACCTGAGCATAGGACAGGGTTAGAAGGGAACAGACTCACTTTAGTAGTAAAATGCCAGGTTTTCTCACAATTCCTCTCATCCCTACCTTCCCTTTGCATTTTACACATGAACAAACTAGAAAACATTTTGAAGGCTAACACCTGGGTTATTCATAAATGAGTATTATCTGTTCCTTCACTTCTTCCCACCTCAAGCCAACTGTGCCCTTCCTGAATCATCTTTCAAATAGTCATGCTTGCAGGGCTAAAGGACATATTTACTCACGAGAACAGTTCACAGTGGCTGGGTTCCTAAAAAGACCAATTCAAGGCTCAGTAATGTTACCATGCACTAAGAGATAAAATGCAGAAGCAGCACACATATTCACACAGTTTACTTTGCAACCTCCTAACAGTCATAAGAAAAATGCTTCCAAGGATGACTGAGTCCCAAGAAATGTGTTCCAAGAAATGTTGAAAGAGGAACCACATGGAACAAAACATGTAAAGCAATATATGTATTTATCAAATGAAGGAAAACTTTCTAGAGATGTTAGAAGATACTTTGTTTTCAAAATTTTACACAGGAATTAGCTGCTGAGAAACTTCACAGGAGCCTCTTAAATCTTCTTATATTGCTATGATAAAGGATTTTATGTATTTAATTCCTAAGTACTCAACCTATCAATACTAAATAGGTACACACATGGTCATAAAAAAGCTCCGGCCTAACATCCAATTTTTTAATCTAAATGATTTTCTCAAATTATTACGAAGTCTCAAACAAAAAATGCTTTCAAAAGTGGCAGAATAAGGGAACAAGCAGTTAGCATAATGACTATGTCGCTGGACTCCCACGTAGTCGACCGCAGTTCGAGTCCTGGACCTGGTGACTTAAAACTCACACTGGGCACGTGTGCGTGCGTGCCCAAAATCCCGAGAGGAGAATGGAGGAGAAGGGATTGCAGCGTGACCATCCCCCTGGGGGGTGATTTCTCGCTTTCTGTCTCTCTGTCTCTCTCTGTCTGGCAAGCACACACGCCCTATAGCGAAAACCTCTCCAAAAAAAAAAAAAAATGTGGCAGAACAAGAGAAATCTTTAGAAAATATGATTCTGAGTAGTTTTTAATGGTCAGATTCAATCTAATGTACAACTTGCCCAAATCTATACCATAGTATTTCATAATTGTGTAGTAATGTGTTTCCTGGGTATTGTTCCAGAAAGAATTTTATGCTGCTTACAAAATATCCATTATCTAGAAAGATAAAACAAAGGATGTGATGAAATAAGAGCACAGGGACCTGAATAGTGAAGATAAGATGAGGCCAAAAGTTTATTACACAAATCTAGCTCTATACTTCACAATAGTTAGAAAAAAAACCCCCAAAATCAGCCAGTTGCACGATTTTACCATGCCTACAAGGTAAAAACTATTCATTTGCTTAGTCAGAGGGACTTTTCCTCACATAGAATATCAGAGAACAACTTTGAAATAGCAGCAGAAAATCACTTGTGTAACAGGCACCCTCCTCAATAAGACCCTTCAGGAAAAGCCCCAGAACTCCAACCTGGAAAACATCAAAGCCTGCTGCTATGGGAAAGCCTCAAAAGCTGAACAAAAACACAATGATCCTTCTGACATAGTGATGAAAGGCTGTTGCTGTTTTTGTTTCGTTGATTATAGGGTTCAGGGGTAGTAGGAGGAGCAGTAACAAATCCAATATGAAGAATTAAGAATAAACTTAGGAGAAATGTGTGAAGCTTTGGGTAAGGCATAGTGGTTAATAGACAAGGACCAAAAGGATCCAATGTAACAGAAAGAAAGGGCAAATAATAAGGAAACAATGTGTGGGTTTTTTTTTTAAAAAGAATTATTTTATATTTATTATTATCATTGTTCAATTTGACCTGAGAGAGATAAGAGATTGTGGAGAAAGAGAGTGAGAAAGCAAGCTGCCAGGTCTAGGACTGAAACTGAAGTTGGCCATGTGGGTGTCCACCACTTTAACCATCATGCTACCTGCCAGACCCCCCTTTTTTCATTTTTTTTTTTTTTGAGAGGCTTTTGCTATAGGGTGCGTGCGCTCGCCAGACAGACAGAGACAGAGATAGAAAGCGAGAAATCACCCCCCCAGGGGGGATGGTCACGCCGCAATCCCTTCTCTCCGTTTTCCTCTCGGGATCTTGGGCACACACGCACACGTGCCCGGCGTGAGTTTAAGCTGCCAGGGCCGGGACTCGAACTGCGGTCGACTACATGGGAGACCAGCGACATAGCCATTATGCTAACTGCTGGTCCCCCTTTTTTTATTTTTAGTTTGCTACCAGGCACCTGATTTATGGAAGGATGACTATGCCTCAATCCCTTCCCTTCCAGTCTCCTCTCGGGATTCCTGGCACACATTCACACACATCAGAGTGTTTTCTCAGCTGCCAGTTCGGGACTCAAACTGCACAGCCAGCCATGTGGGATCCAGCTGTCCAACCACCACGCCACCTGCTTGCCCTCAATATATAGATCTTTTAAAATCTTATGGGCGTGGTGGCGCCCGCCCTATGGCAAAATCTTATACCAGATGAAAACAGAAGCAGGACTTACAGGATAGAAAACAGTTATTAGTAAACTACTGTTCTTCCAAGCAGCAGAAGATACCCTAGGTTGATGGGCAGTGGCATATACTCTTGGCAACAATGTCTGAGAGAAAAGTTGTCTTAGCAGATTTCAGAAGCTTGTTGAAGACGTACTGAACATCATACTGTTCCCTCTGTCCCTATTTCATATCTACCAAGCATCTCCCTGACCACAAATTACTTTTCGAGGAAATTTCCCTCTAGGCATATGAGGTAGCTCACATAAACATCCTGTTTGATGGTTATTACATTGGCTCTCAGCTACAGGTCATTCTTATATGGGATTCAGCATAATAAGCCATGATTTTAGGACTTGGACACCCCAGATAAGCAGTTGATTTCATTTTCATTTGCAAAACTAAGTAGCCAGAACCATGATGATAATAAATCTCTTCCACTGTGACTTTTAGACTCTGAGATCTAGCTTAAAAAAAGCCATCAGCATTTCTGGTCAGACATTCCTTACATTTAAATTCATGTTCTGGTACATTGTCTTGAACCTTCTCCCTAAACCCTTTCCTTGATACATTTTTTTTTGGGGGGTGGGGTGGGGGTGGGGGAGGATATTCAAAGGACACAAGCTGCTTCCCAATGGATTTCTGCCAGATGCCTATCGGCAAAACTTCCTTTGGACTTCTTGGCAGACTCTATGCTATAGCTTGAAATAACAGAAGAACAAAGCTGCTGAACTGAAAGTTTGCATAACTGGTGAAGTCTGCCAATGAGTAATTCCTAATCATCTATCGTGAAGAGATACAAGTATGAGCAAACAGTAAGGTTAAGTGTATTTACTTTGTGGGGAACAAACTCTAAGACATCACAAAGGCATGGAGACATGCATGCCAGCCAGCAAGATCAGCCTCCAGGAACCTGGAAGGACGCCAGTGTTTCCCTTTGGCTTATAAAATAAATACTCCTGGGGTTTTGTTTTTGTTTTTGTTTTTAAGTGGATTTTGGTCTGGAACTGAAACTAAGTTTACTCAGCTCCATGACCTGAACAGAATATTGAAGTCTTAAGGGAAAAAAAAAAAAATAGAGTGAGCCAAGGAAAGTTTTTCCCCATAACTAAGCACCAAGGCCTCTTAAAGACAATAGATGTATACAGGGAGTACTATTATTAAGTAGGAAACTGTTTACCAACAAAAGGGCTGTATCCACAAAGAGAAATTTTAAGGAAGAGAAATAAGAGACTCCATGAAATAGTCACTCATAAAATATTGTTCCCTAAAGGATACCTTTAACTAATAAAACATTTAAAAGTGCTCATCTTTCTTGCTTCCCTTCAGCAGAAAGTTAGCAATTTTAAGGTTGGACTATCATTCTGGAAACGTCTGGGAAGATTCCAAAGAGGGTATCAAAAGTATGAAGACAACAGCCCTTGGGCTTGTTTCTGCCAAACCGACTACGGGCTGCCAGGACCATCCAGTTCAGGCGACGTGCACTATGCCAATTCCAGCTCTTACTTTTTTACCAGCTGCCAATTCCCTCTTCCCTACTGTTTTGAGCATTTCTGAAAGGAGCATTTCCTGTCATTTATAAACGAGAAGTTTGCCAATTAAGTACTGCATGAGCCAGCTGCTGGGCAGAAACTAGAGACTTTTTGTCTTCTGGAAAAACCAACTCTTTGGCTCTAT